TGACGAGCCCTCGGACTCCGTGGAGGTGGTCCGCCATGCGTCGAAGCTTCGCCCTCTGAGTCTCAAGAATTGTGACGCCAAGGCGGTGGCTAGTGCAGCGAATCATGTGCTTGCCCCGCTAGTGGCCGCAAGAGTGCACGAGAGCCAGCAAGGCTTCGTGCGCGGGCGGAACTTCCTGTCTCACGTCGTCCGTCAGGATGCGGTCGCTCGCGCTGCCAGCCACCACCCTGAGCTGTCCCCCCTCTTCGTCTCCTTTGACCTCAGGGCCGCGTTTCCCTCTCTCTCCCAGCCCTTCCTCTGGCGTGTGCTCGAGCGTCACCGCATCCCGAAGGGCTTCCTTAATGTGATCTCTGCCTTGTACTCTGGGGCTCTCGCCCACTCCCGATGTGGAGCATCCCGCCGCCCTCTCTTCCTGGTGACGTCAGGCGTGGCCCAGGGATGCCCCCTCTCTGGCACTATCTGGGCCCTCTCAATGGATCCCTTTGCCCGCCACATCCAGTCTCAACTGTCGTCGCCCGAGGCTCTGGCCCTCTGCCCGAGTCCCGAACGCTGGTGTCCAAGACTAGAGCCTGAGTGCGGTGTGACGGCGGACGATGTCGGCGCCACTCTCCCCTCGATTCGGCTCCTCCCCCTGCTCATTCCACCCTTCACCGCCGCCCGCACTCTAGCCAATCTCGAGCTCCAGCCGGACAAATGTTGTGCTGTCCCGCTGGCAGTTGAATGCACGCCCTGCGCTGCGGCTCGCATGAGTGCGAAGATAACTGACCTGGCCCCAGAGTGGGCCTCCTTCCATGTTCGCGGGTCCACGCCGTTCCTGGGGTTTGCTTTCGGTCCAGGGGCAACTCTCTCGGACCAATGGGCCGATCCTATTCGCAAGTGGCAGAGACGTACGACAGAGGTTGCACATAGCCGTACCCCTGCAGAGGCAAGCTGCCGTATTTACAACTTCGGCATCCTCTCTGTCCTGAGCTATGTCTGCCAGCTCTTTCCCCCTCCCCTCGCCCTCCTTCGCTCCGAGCGCCACGTCCTCCACCGCCTCCTCCGCCTTCCTCCGAATGCCTTCGGCCTGGGGGAGCTCCTGGGTCTCGGCTCCTGGCTCCGATCCTCGGTCCCCAGGTCCGTGCGGGTCCTGGCTGGAGCCTCCGCCTGGAGGACCGCTGCGTGCACCCTCTCCAAGGACGGCCCAAGGGGCTGGAGCCAGGCCCTCTCGATCCTTCGGGCCCAGGCTGAAATGCACGGACCGCTTGGGGCGCTGGGCTCCCGCGGTCTCTCGAGCGCTGTGTGGCGACGCCCACTCTCTATCGCAGAATATTTTGAGGATGTGATGCTCGGCGGTCCACCTGGGATCGCCCGAGCCGCCTGGCATCGAGCAGAGGCCACTGCACGGCACGAGATCGCTGACGCCGCCGCCACTGCCAGACGGTCGAGGCCCCAGCGTGCCATCTCTTTGAGTCTCCATGCGTCCCTGTATCCTGACTCTTTTCCCTCTCTTCTCGCCCGTCGTATCTCCTCTTGGTTCCCCCTTGCTCCTCCTCTTCCCATTGCCGAACTCACCAGTCGTTGGGAGGCGCTCCGAGGAATCCTCGTTCGGAGTCCCCCATCCTGGGCTTGGGCCCACATCAAAACCCTGGCGGGGGCGTGGACCACGGCGGCTCGCATCCCGTGTGAGCCACCCCGTCAGTGCCTCCTCGGCTGCGCCGATGCCGCCGACGACTTTGCCCATTACATCTCGTGCCCCCGCCTCCTTCACCTCCTTGCTCTTCCCCGAGGCTTCCTTCCTTCCTGTCCCCTCACTCGCCTCGGGCTCGGGCCCTCGCCTGATGCTGAAGTCGAATACCCACGCGTTCGCTGCCATCGCGTGGTCGTCCTCAGCTTCCATATCTATCATAAGCTGAAGGCTGACCTGGCCTCCCACCCAAGGAGGTCGGCGACGCCTTCTTACCACTACGATGTACGAGCTGCCGCTCTCGCCGCAATGCGTCGATAGAGCTCGCAACAGTAGCTGAGTCACCATCACTCAAGCTACGTGCGCTCCTCCTGCTCCTCCCTTCACGACCTCACCCTCATCCTCCCCTCCTTCTCTTTCTGGCCCTCCTCCTCATCCACACCTTCCTCCTCCCCCTCCTTCTACTCCTCCACATCCTCTTCATCATCGTCACCATCACCACCATCATCACCACCGACGCCATCATCATTATCATCATCATCATCATCATCATCATCATCATCAGCATCATCATCATCATCATCATCATCATCGTCATGGTCATCGTCATCGTCGTCGTCATCATCATCATCATAAGCATCAGCATCACCATCACCATCACCATCACCATCACCATCATCACGATCAGTATGATCAGCATCATCACCATCATCCTAACAGGTTTAACCATATCACCACCAGCATCACCACCGCCACCATCATCATCATCATCATCATTATCATCATCATCATTCTCATCATCATCATCATCGTCATCGTCATCGTCATCATCATCATCAGCAGCATCGTTAACATCATCATCATCAGCAGCATCATCATCATCGTCATCAGCATCATTATCATCAGTCATCGTCATCATCATCATCATCATCATCATCAGTCGTCGTCATCATCATCATCATCATCATCACCATCATCATCATCATCATCATCATCACCACCATCATCATCATCATCATCATCATCATAATCATCACCATCATCATCGTCATCGTCGTCGTCATCGTCATCGTGGTCATCGTCATCATCATCATCATCATCATCATCATCATCATCGTCATCGTCATCGTCATCGTCGTCGTCGTCATCGTCATCGTGGTCATCGTCATCATCATCGTCCTCCTCCCCTGCATCCTCCTCCCCCTCCTCTTTCTCCTCCTCCTCCTCCTCCCTGCTCCTGTGGCTCCGGCCGTGCTCCCCCTCCCCCTCCTCCGCTTCGCCTTCCTGCTAGCCCTGCCCCTCCTCCACCTCCTCCTCCTCCTGGTCCTCACCCACTTCCTCCCCCTTCCCCTCATCCTCCTCCTCATCCTCCTCCTCCTTGCTCCTCCTCCTCCTCCTCCTCCTCATCGTCATTATCATCAGCAGCCGCATCATCATCATCATCATCATCATCAGCAGCAGCAGCAGCATCATCAGCATCATTACCATCGCCATCATCATCATCAGCATCATCATCAGCATCATCAGCATCATCATCGTCGTCGTAGTCATCGTCATCGTCATCGTCATCACCCTTACCAACATTGCCATCATCATCATCAGCATCATCAGCGTCATCATCCTCATTAGCTTCATCATCATCGTCGTCATCATCATCTGCATCCCCCGTCCCGTCTTCAATTTCACAGTCTGAACACTACTCTCCTCTCTCCCCTGATGACGTCCAGAAGATATCCAGCCGCCCCCCCTCCGCTTTTGTTTTTTTCACAGGATTCCCGGAATTGGGTTTTTGATTGGGTTTTGTTCAAAATGTTGCTCCCGCTGCAGTGTTGGCCTGATTTTCGGGTTTCCGCTCGTTCCGAATCGTGCTCCCGGTGCAGCCGTGGCATCATTTCCGCGCTCCAGCTCGTTCCGAATCGTGTTGCCGCTGCAGCGTTGGCCTTATTTCCTGGTTTCCGTATGTGTTTTGAACAATGTTGTTCTCGCTGCAGCGTTGGCCCCAATTTTGAGCCTCTGGTTGTTCCACAACGTGCTCCCGCTGGAGCTCGGGTGTAAAGAAGGCCCAAAATCTAGAAATTTACCTCTAGAAAAAAAAACATCGCAAGTGATTACACATCCCGTGTTGATTCGTTGAGTTTTTGGGCCGCAGAAGGCGCCCCCCCACTTCGGGGCGGCGTTGTTTGGAGGAAGTATCAAGCAGGAGCCTCGTTTCTGCTTTCAGAAGGCGGTGTTGCAAGCAGAGCCAGCGGGTGCTCTCCAGCAGCACCGCCTTGTGGGGAGCTTTTCGGAGAGCCCAGGGAGGTAAACATGGAGCCGCGACTCCAGACCGGCCCAGACCCTTCAAAGACGACCCATTAACCCTCCAAAGAACCTGGTGCCTTGCCTTGACATGATGCGCGGTGTTGTTCTTTGCGCCGCTGTGCGATGCCATGCTTTGCGTTGCAATGCTTTGTGACGCAATGCTTCACTACGCAATGCTACGCCATGCTATGACATTCTACGCTCTGCCGTGCTCCACGCGATGCCATGCCGTGCTCTACGATGCATCGCGCACCATCTCGTGATCATTGCCCTGCTCGACGTACGACTGTGCGAATAGAGAGGAGATCTACGCCATGGCAAGGGATGGGATGAAGGGGTAGGACGTCGGATATGACGCGAGCGCACATAGCTTGCCCAAGTCCCCTCTGCCCCCTCCCCCTGCTCCCCACCCTACCAAGAGAAGTACGAGGAGGCGCTGGAGAAGTACAAGGAGGCCAGGGAGGCCTACGACACATGAGAGGCTACGACTTTTCCATACCCAGGCTACGGCCTCCACGGCCACGCCCTAACGGGCGAGCGCGGGCGCCCACGCGGCGCGCGCGCGCGGATCCGGCGTTCGCTTCGCTTTGCTTCGCTTCGCCTTGCTCCCTTCCTGAGGCGTTCCACAAAGGGCCTTGTCTCCACGGATCGGAGGAGTTGGCACCTCATCCTCGGCGGAAGGCCGGCGGAAGCAAAACGGGGCCATTCCCGCCGGCGGAAGGCCGGCGGAAGCCAGCGGAGGCACAAGCCGGCCTCCCAAGAGATGACCATCTTTTTGGGGATGCAGCGTTCCGACACGGTCCAAGGGTGCCCCACGGCGCCCTAGATAGTCGTCCCACGGCGGACCAAGAGGCCCCCAAGACGCCCCAAGAGGATTGCAACCGGACCCCCCAAGAGCACCCCACTGAGCAGAAGAAGTTGCAGTCCTGCCAGGTCGCGTGCACTTCAGGTGCCCGCGTGATCTGCCTTGGCCGTGCTGCAGGTGGCCCCCCCCTCTCCTTCAGCCGAGCTCCCGCCCGGCCTCGCTTCGAAGGGGCTGGCGATGCTGAACTACCAGCGGTCCCTGCTGCACTTCGTCGCCAAGGGCATCACGTCCTCCAACCTGCTGCCGTGCCTGGGCCGGCCCGTGGGCATGACCAGGGAGGCTGGGCCCCCGCACGCCGCTGCTTCCCTCTGCCTGCCTTGTCGATCTCATAGCGCCAACATCGCAGAGCGGAGGTCGTTCGGGAGATGAAAGGATTGGCCCGGAGTGTCCCGGAGAATTTGGTTCCCGATCTCGAGGTGAATTGCGTGCGGATTTTTGGGTCAAGAATGAAGACTTGAGAAATCCTCGCGAAATTCACGTCGTTTTTCACTCGCCCGTTCGGGGTTTTGCAGTGGCAGAAATCCACGCAAAAAAATCCGCTGTAGCACGTCTGCAAGGTCGGTGCAGTGATCGAGCCTTCGGCCTCAGATCCAGGCGTTGCACTTTTTGCGGCAATTGCTGGCGACAGGCTGCCCATAAAGGCCTCGACGTCCGCGGCCGAAGGCTAAGGCCGAGCCAAGCAGTAGCACGAGAAGAAAGCCGCCCTGGAGCAGCCTCGTGGCGGAATCAGTAGTGGAAAGCCCCAGCAGGGCAGCTCGCAGCCGAGGAGGAGACTGCGGCCACCGCACTACCGTGCCCCCCGACAGCCCCGACAGCGCGCAGGGGGCGGGGACCCCTGCAGGTCAGGGAGATCACCATCACGCGGCTCAGACATCGGGCGTGTTCTCCCAGTTTCGGGCCCCGGGACCATGGTCGACCCATTCCCCTGGGCCGCTTTTCCATCCTGAGTCGTTTTTGTTCACGGTCCCGAGGGTTGGTAAAGGGTTTCCAGAGGCCGAAAAATAGGAACAACCTCCCGTCATGATTTTTTCATTGCCCGAGGGAGTCCGGAATTCGAGAACTGCCAAAATTCGGAGGTCCGCGCTGATTCCTTGGATCCGCGCTGAACCCCCCTCCCTGGCGCGTGGAGCGCGCCAGGGGCGGCGCCGGAGGCGCCGTCAGGGGGCCCCAGCGCGGGTCCGAGAAATCCGCGCGGACCTCCGAGTTTTTATGTTTATGTCCTTCTCCGTTTCCCTGGCCCTGGGCCCTTCTTCTTGTGGCAGTTCTCGAGTCCCAGGCCCCCTCGGGCAATGCAAAAATCATGACGGGAGGTCATCCCTGCGTTTCGTCATTGCTCGTTCCCGTAACCCTGCGATCCGACGTTGCAACAAAAATCACCACCAGAACCCCAGGCCCAGACCCCACCTTCCTGCGTCTTTTTTCGAGCCGAATCGAATTGTGAAGGTCCCGAGGCCCGAAATTGAGCGAAAACGCCCGGCGTGAAAAAATTGCAACGCCAGAATCTCATGGAAGGGCTCAGGTCGAGTTTTGCCTCGCGGTGCTGCGCTCCTCCTCGTGGCGGCGGAGATCTCGTGGAGGATGCGCCCCGTCGGGTGCGCGTGTGGGGCTCCCCTCTCTCACAGGCGGCTCCTCGCCACCCCCAGGTCCCCCGAGCTCTCCCCCAGAGAGCGCGGCCGCTCAGCAGTATCGTTCAACCGACCCCCATCCCCATCCCCATCCCCTTCGAGACCCCCACCAAATTACCCCCCCCCCCCCCCCAGTTGGGGATACACCCCTCGAAACCCAAAAGGAACGGCCTGTATCCCCATCTAGGGGGGTAGATCGGCCAGTGGGGCCCAGGCCACGCCGCTGGGGATAGGGATCGGATAAAGGATGCTCAGCTCAGCAAAGGAGGGTAGCCTTAAGTCGGGCCTGTCCCTTTACAGGAGGAATCTTATGGTCAAAAAATTTTCGAGGGGCGACTTTTTAAATTTATTGCGAAGGCCTTACGGCCGGTGCCGCCGATCCTGGAAGACGACACCCACGATGTAGGTGGCAGCCGGAGGTATTTAAGCACGAGGAGGACGAGGAGGAGGAGGAGGAGGACAACGCGAGGAGGAGGAGGAGGAAGACGCGAGGAGGAGGTGGAGGAGGACGATGACGACGACGACGACGACGACGACGACGACGACGACGACGACGACGACGACGACGACGACGACGAGGGCGGCGGCGGCGGCGGCGGCAGCGGCGGCTTCGACGACGACGAGGACGACGACGACGACTGCGGCGGCGGCGGCGGCGGGCGTCTTGAAAACGTCTTGGGCCGTCTGCAGGCTACTAGGGCGTCTTGGACCGATGGTTCGGCGATTCGGCACCCTCTGGGACCGTCTGGGCGGCTTCTTAGGGCATTCTTGGCCCGTGCGAAGCTTTTCTAGGTCCCGGGATTCCATTTTCGTTTGGGGTGGCGGCCCTCCCCTCTCTGGCGAGGAACGGATCCGAGGTAGGAGGGAGGGGGGGGAGGCGAAGAGGGGGGAGGAGGACACTCCCCCACATGTTCGGGATGGGCAAAACAATCAGAAAAGTAGGCCGGGGGGGGGGTGCGTCTCTGGGTAACGGCCTCCCACCGGGACCCCCCCCCGGGACCCCCCCCCCCGGGCTCCCCCCCCTCGGTGGGGAAGGGATCGAAGGGAAGAGGCTTCCTTTCGATTCAATTACGATGGAGCTCATTTTCGTTGAGGGTGGCGCGGTCGCTCATTTTCGATGTAGGTCATTTTCGCTAAGGGTGGCGCGCCGAGGACGACGCGTCTTCCACACGCCGACAGGGTCGGCGGATTTTATGACTAGTTCCGAATATATGTTGTTGACAAGTTTTCATCTCTCATCCAAGGTCCGCCTGTATGGGGACATGCCCGTCCTAAGGGTAGCTCTGTGGTGCGCCCTCAGGAGGTTATTCTTCAGGACGCGCCCTGATCGGGCGCTTCTGCAGCAACTCAGTGGAGCCTGGTGTGCCCTCTTAGTTCCGTCTTTGGCGTCGGCTGGCGTCGATTAGCTCCTGGGAGTCGATGGGATGTGCCAGTTTCGCGTCGACTAGAGTCGATTGGCGCCGACTTAGCGTCGATGAGCGTCGACTAGCGGCGATGAGCGTCGATTCGATGCTGTGCGCAGCACGGCGTCGACTTAGCGTCGACGCTGTGCGCGGCACGCGCGGTGCATTTGACGTGGAGCAACATTTGCGACACAATCGACGTAGCGCATTATATTTGATGCAAATTATGTGGTGCAAACCATTCGGTTTAAATTCGTACTGCCGAAGTTGAAGTTGTCAGTTCCAATATTCGCGCAATCGTCCCACCCAGCCACCCGAATTTGGGTTTACAAGTTGAAGTTGTCAGTTCCAATATTCGCGCAATCATCCCACCCAACCGCCCGAAATTTGGTTTACACCACTCATGCGGCGCGGATTGCGATGGCTGCGTGGCGCTGGTTGGCGCATCGCTGAAGTCGCACTAGCGTGCGCAGGCTCGCGCGCAGAGCGGCCAGCTAGTCAGAATCGGCGACGCGACTGCGGCGGCGCTGGCCGATGCCCACTTTCCAACGCGGGTCGCAGGCCGCGTTGGCGCGCGGGCGTTTCAGTGCGAGTCAGTGAATCGGGTTCACGCGGTATCGTGGCGACGCTGGCAACGGCAGGCACGGTGGTGGTATTAGCGGAGACTGATGATGGCGATGGCGGAAGCAAGGCCAATGATGGTGCAGACGCTGATCACGCCGAAGACGATGATGGTGTCCCCGCGTTGGTGATGTTGGTTTCTAGAACGATGTCGGCATGCGCGCGCTGCCGTCGCAAAGGAGTGGTTCGCATGGTGTATTTGACAGCGGTCGTGCCCCTCCCCACCCTTACGACACCCACCCTGGACTCTCTACGACACCCAACTCCAACGAGCGTGTAGATTTGAATCCCGTTTTTCTGCATGGGTTCGTTCCCCCAGCAAACGCGCAAGGGCGTTCGAATGGTTTCGGCACGCGCGCTCGGGAGACCCGCTTGGTCGCATGTGATGAAGATGTTGAATACCAAGGGTTCCACCGGCAATTCGGAAAGGCGCACGCGCAACCTGTTAAGTTTGAAAACCGATGTTGCCAACAATTTGCGCTGACATGTCTATATATACATTTGCACACATGCGGGTACTGATACATAAACGTGTGCACATTTATACATGCATAAACACATACACATACGTATACGTATACATGTGCATGTAATGCACATACACACGTTGACAAACACACATATATGTACAACATATGCAAGGACAAATACACATATACATTTTCATACATACGCACATATATATATACATACATACATGTACCGATTCGTGTACACACACATTCACATATTGTGGCCTTCGGCCCATCCCGCCTCCATGCCTGGGTTGTGGATCAGAGTTATCAAGGATGTGTTCTCGGATCTCTTCGGGGTTCTCTCGGGGGCCTTTTGTTGGCAGCTCTGCGGCCTGTTGAGGGCCTCTTGGCGTATCTTGGGGGCTTCTTGGTGTCTCATGGGGGCTTCGTGGGGCCTCTCGCGGGCCTTTTGGGGGCCTCGAATTAGGGTGGATCGGCGGCACCCATCCATGTTGCAGGGCGCGTGCGACGGGGCATACAGCAGACTGCTGGACATCCTCAGGGTGGTGGAGTGCACGCTGATCTGGCCGATCCACATGGCCACTGTCCTTTTCTTCATAATCCCGAAGACTCTCACCACCGACAGGGTGATTGGTTTGCTACCGACCACCATCCGCGCGTGGGAGATCATGGGAGAACCGTACATGATCAAGTGGGCAAAGGAGAACCAGAGGAGTTGGGACTGCACGGGCCACGGGAAGGCAGCGGAGGACGCGGCGTGGGATGTATTATTCTTGTCACGGGATGGACGACCCCCACGACGAAGGTTAGGGGCTGGAAGGCCACGATCACCGCGGTGCTGGACTCGTGAAAGGCCTTTGAAATGGTGAGCTTGCACGTGCTGTGGGAGGCGGGCAAGCAGCTGAACTTCAACGCGGGAGTGCTAGCGGTGGTGTGTTCGTACTTGTGTTCGTATTTCGCGATGGCAAGGAGGCTCGTAGCGGGGGGGCCAGTGTCCATCGAGACCAGCACTGTGACCACGATCGCAGCTGGAAGCAAGTGCTCGGTCTGCTTCTTGAAGATGGCCAGCCAGTCGACTGTTGATGGCCTAGTGGTGGAGAGGCCGCGCACAAAGTGGCGCGTGTATGTGGGCGACCCATGTGTGCGTCTGCGAC